TTAGTCCACCATATGATGGCATCAATGGCTCATTCACTGCACGCATACCTCAATCGGATCCTCTCGTCGTCAGACAAACACTCAATTGAATGACAAATAAATAATATAAACAATAACTCTATGAGTAGTGCATTGAATCGCCAATTAGTCAATCCATTCACTGATACACACATTATTGACACAAATATATCGAAATTAACAAACTTTGTAATGAATGTATGAAAAAATATAGAAATCTAGTCGTATATATATATATATACAGTGTATATATGTTACAAAATAAACTATGCAGGGTGCTATGCTAAATAAATATTCGGACAGTTAGCTGTAAGACGCGTACAGTATTGCACTAATTGTTTGGTACGTGTGGTCATAAGGTTAGGCCAACACCTGTATGCCAGTCGTGCACACGAGTGAGTGTACGCTCGGATTGAGTGCACATTTACGAGTGATTGGTGGCACACATGTCCAGACAATCAGTCCATGGATCCAATGGTTGGAGTCATGTTTGGCTGTAAATCGCAGTCAATGTGAGCGACAATTAGTGGCGAATAGTGTTCACAATTGACTCACTGTTTACATTCCATGTCATACACTGACAGTCACCCAAAGTGGTCAATATGGCACTCACTGCCACCTATTGCACAGCCATTACATCATTACAGCAATACTTTTCAATTCACTTTTCTCTCATTGAAAACTTTAAATCAATTTGGATATCAATTAATTTATTAACATGATTCATTTAATTATCATTTTAGTTATATTTTTAAATGTTTATTCTTAGGCTACTTATCATTAATCAACAATTTTAGTTGTAATTATAATTGGTGATAAATTATTACTTACTACCCTACATATTATAAATTACTACCTATTGAAATAGACCTTGGAGTTTCCAATGAAAATTTCCATATTAGAAACATGTAGTCATATCTATACTTTTAAGTTATTGTACATTTATTACTTTTTAAATTGACACTGTTAACTATAAAAGCAATGATTTTATTAATTCATTCAAAGAGTAACGGTTTGGTTGTACTCGTCGTGAAGCCAGGGGTAGTCGTGCGGGCACTGGACGTCGTTGCAGATGACCACCAGTTTGTCCAAACCTTTGAGCACATCGATGTGTTTGTACTGACAGTTGCCTTTAGGGACCACTAAATCAGTTTTGCCGCACTTGTCCTCAATCGGATGTTTCACACATGAAGTTTGCTTATAGTTCTTGAGGAGTGTTGCCTCCGATCCCCTTCCCATCCAATCGATCAGTTCGCTAATGGATACGAAGTAGACGTCCTTTTTGGCGGTCAGACTGTCGATGAACTGAAGCAATGCTGTCCTGCGGTTCTCGGTGTGTGAGAGCCAGGCGTCCCTCAGGAACAGCGGAAAGGGAGCTCTGTTTGCGGTATAGAATCGGTTGAAGTTCTCCTCAAACACTTCGACGAACTGCTCGACCGTCGGGTCTTCAATGTATGTGCCGTTTGAGTCATATATAGTACAGGCGTCCACTTCAGCGCACGGGATGTCTATCGTAGTGTTGTCGGGATTCACGAGTTTTGTGGTCCAATCGTTCATCGGTATACTCCAGAAGCCGGGATACGTGTGCTCTGACGACATACACGGCTCTATCTGACAGTCGGCTTTGAACCCGAAGTCCAGAGTGTAGGGGAAGAGCGGTTTTGCCGTATATTTTCGCGATGGCTGTGAGCTGTCGTATCGGAAGCCTTCGTCGGCGAGCGCCTGGAGTTGCGTTCAAATAGAGTATTAATTGAATGCAAACTAGATTTTAGTGAACACACCGTAAACGTGATGTTTCCGGCAGTTTGCAGATCAGGAGCGCGAGAGCCCACGATCTCATTGATGGGAATGTCCGCCAGTTTGGAGAGAATCCGTTTAATGCCACCGAACTCTTCCCTCCAGCCCTCTAAGTCCAGACTCTTCCAGCGGGCCTGACCTCCAAGTGTGGTCTTACTGACGGTCAAGAGTTAGTGGTTTTACTCAATTAGTCTTACAGTTAGGAAACGAGTGAATGAGTGAATGGATTACGAGATGGAATGGGCGGCGATCTCATGACCCCTTCGGTGCAATTCGTGCACTAATTTGTAATTCGTGTCCACGTGTGAGACGAAGAACGTCGCTTCAATGGGACAGTCGTTAGGGTTGGTGTAGTTGAGGAGTGTCTCGTAGAACTGCTGGGTCTCCAGTCGCACGGCCTCATCGAAGCTCATGATCACGAACTGCGGGATCTCCTCCTTCTTGTGGCCGAATGGGGGCTCTGAACTAAAACACGAACATTTCGGTGCTTTGCATGTGGCCGGGGAGCACACGTCATCACCTGTCGGGGCAATCGAGACAATGGACACACTCTTAACCTGATTCCGAGCCTATGGTTACTTCGACTGTATTTACCGAATACTGCAGATGTGATGCACAGTAATCCCAGAAGTGTTGCAATTATTTTCATTTTTATTTCGATATCTCCTCACTCTATAGGATGTATTGTAATGAATATTACAAATATATATACATTTAAATCGTGTGATTAAATGGTCTGTTTGGTGATTATCTAATGAGAGATACTTGTGTTCAAGTATTTTATAATGTCCTAGTTCTGTTTAATAGTGAGTATAGTCGCGAAGACATGATTATGATTCAGATGTCATTTTCACTTGCATTATAATCATTATAATATCTATAATACGGTATATGTTAGCAAACAATTGATTAGTTAACAAATATGATTTATCGCAGATGAAAATAACTCATATTGACTGTAAAGTCTATATTTATAAATTTTTAAAATACAATTTTATTTAAAATGAACTTATGATGAGAATATGAATACGTAATCTGACTATACTTATGTAGATTAAAAATTCCTAGAAATACTTAGTTACCAGCATATTCTAAAAATATTATAACCCTTTTAACTGATTAGTTGGAAGTTTGTAGAAAAAAATTGTAGAAATCTAATCTTATTGAAAAAATAAGTTCCTATTTTGATTATTAAATTCTTTATTGATTACATTTAAGGATACATTATCGTAATATTGTAGTTATTAACACACAAGAATTGAATTCATTGTAAGTTAAATAAAGTAAATTAATATTTACTAATACTTGAATTTAAAAAAAAATTATATATAAAAATATAAGTATTGAATAAAATGGATGTCATATAATTAAATAAAAGGCATAACATTAGCCGCGTATTGTCCACCATAATTGCCAGGGGGCTGGTAGTGACAGACCACATAAACCTTACTGTTTGTCGTATTCATGGCCTTAGCACATCCCACATCTGTGGTTGCCCTCCAAATAAGTTGAGTCAAGTGACCAATAGCTTGAAAATTGTGGGGATGACCAGTTTTGGGAGGCTTGTAGTTGTAAAACTGAGTCTCGCTGTGAAAAGCATTGATGGCTTCGTGGCAGTTCAATTCATTATATACCTGTATGATGTACCCTGGTCTATTACTGCTCGCCCACATATGCCATAAATTTTCACCGACACCTTTTAAATGGCTGTGACGCCAGATATTAAGACCCGAAAGATTTTTGGCCCAACTGTCCGCTGATTCCACTAACTATAACATAGCAGTAGTCAAAAGGTTGTACTGTATATTCAAATACAGCAAATATTATACTTTATAATTCAGTTTGAGTGGAGGGGTGTCCAAATGCATGGCCCGAAATTTGTTATGACTTTCCAAACACTCGGTATTGAATGACTCAAACAGTGGTGTAGTCTTGGGCTCCACCGGGGATAGGGTTGTGAAGTAATTCTTGGATTCCATACTAACTGTCCCTTTGAGTGTACTAACCGTTTCTTTGGTGGCATTGGTAGTGATTGTCACATGACTTGCATTAGTTGAAGACTGTCCCGATGTATCTTTGCTGAGCCCTGAGTTGCGAAGAATTTGTAAATTATTTGTCAAAAAGTAAGAAATGAAGTGAATTACCATTTTTATATAGAACTGCTCCACCAGTAGTCTTGGTCTCCACCGTAAATAGGGCTGTGAAGTCATTCTTAGATTCCATACTAACCGGTCGAGTCTCGAATTGTGGTGTAGGTTTGGGATCCACCAGTGATATGGTCTTCAAGTCATTATACTTGGAGTCCTTATAACTTTAGTATTAATTAGTTCACATCTGACACCAGAGCTAACCTGACATCACCCATAAATGTTATCAATGGAACAATTAGTGTAAATTCTATGTCATTTATAGGTGATGTTGGATCAGCTTTAAAGAATTTATGTTTTAATTATACTCTGAGGTTAGCTGTGGTGTCAGATCAGACCTGATTAACTGACTGGAAGTGTTTGACACATGACTTGCATTAGTGGAAGACTGTTCCGGAGTATCTTTGCTGAGCCCTGAGTTACAAAGTATTTGTTAAGTATTTGTTCAAACGTTTTACTCGAAAGATATCATTTGAAATGAATTACCATTTTGAAAAATGAATGCCAAAATAGCAATGAAAAACACAATAACCACCAAAACTGCTAGAATTACAAAGAAAGTTAGCTTTGAATGATTCCTTTTGGTCACAAATTTGTGTTTTTGTTCTATAACCACAGGTTCATAATGTTGTTTGTTGGACATATTTCTATTAATTACACTGATAATTTAATTTATTTATATTTTAAAAGTCTCAAAATAATATATTAAATTAAGTGCTATTAAATACTGACAAATTCTTTTAGTTACTGTAGTGATTCTGTGTGAAACTCATATCCCCAATCAATTCTACAGTACATAACACTGTATGTATTATATTATAATAGTTTCATTAGAATATCTAATTTAACTAAAAGATAAGTCCGATTCTGATTATTAAAATATTTGTTTATCATTACATTCATAACACCTGAGGTATACAAGTGGTACTTACAGTACTATAACATCTTATTTTTAATTCGTATTATTTAAATCATGTTTATAAGATAATAAGATATCACAATAAGATATGTGTAGACCTAAAACCATTTAAAGGTTTTTGCCAAATAGCGTTTACTGTATATAAAATATTTATTAAACTTCTATCATAGTTTTATTAAACTTTTATATGAAATGTTTGTGCATATTCACTATAAAAGTTCAATTATAGTTTAATAAATATTTTATATACAGTAAACGCTATTTGGCAAAAACCTTTAAATGGTTTTAGGTCTACACATATTATAAAATATTTTATTATTTAAATTAAAGTTAATTTATGTTGTAACACATTTACAATCAGAAAAGTACTGAAAGTGTAACTAAAATGTGTGTTTATTATAAATGTATTTGCAATTTAGAAATAAATATTATAAAATATTTTATTATTTAAATTAAAGTTAATTTATGTTGTAACACATTTACAATCAGAAAAGTACTGAAAGTGTAACTAAAATGTGTGTTTATTATAAATGTATTTGCAATTTAGAAATAATTTGGTTTCAATAGAAATGATATATAAAAATAAAAGAATTGTATGAAATGAGTGTCAGATTCTTAGTTATTAGTTCTCCCAATTACCGAGACTTGAATTGTCTATTAAAGGCTTAACATAAGACCCGAATCCCCAGGCCAGATTGCCAGCAGGGTAGTAGTGACAGGCCAAATAAATCCTACTGGTTGTTTTATTGAAGAACTTAGCACAGCCCACATCAGTGGTGGTATTCCACACCAGTTGAGTGAAGTGTCCAACTTTGGTGAAATTCTGGGGAGTACTCCCTAAACCCGCTGTATCATAGTCATAATACCAGATCTCTCTGTACCAGTAAATCACCACTTGTTTGCAGGTCAATGTCTTGTAGCCTGACTCTGTACCATTGGACGACCATAGATTTTCGCCATACCTGGAGCCGACTCCATGTTCAAAACTGTGTCGGAATTCTAACCTCTGCGAAAGATTTTGGTTCCAAGCATTCGCTGAGTCCGCTAACTATAACACACCATCATATTAGTCAATAGATTGTATATTCAAATATAGCAATTAATATACTGTATAATTAAGTTTGAGTGGAGGTGTATTGACATGTCGGGCTCGCAATCTGTTATGATTTTTCAAACAGTCGGCATCGAATGACTCAAACAGTGGTGTAGTCTTTGGCTCCACCGGGGATAGGGTTGTGAAGTCATTCTTAGATACCATACTAACTGTCCCTTTCAGTGTACTAACCGTTTCTTTGATGGCATCTATAGGTGATGTTGGGATCAGCTCTGAAGTAACGGTGTTCTCGTTGTTCTCTGTGGTTAGCTCTGGTGTCAGATGTGAACTAATTGACTGACTGGTAGTGATTGTCACATGACTTGCATTAGTGGAAGACTGTCCCGAAGTATCTTTGCTGAGTCCTTAGTTGCGAAGAATTTGTAAATTATTTGTCAAAAAGTATGAAATGAAGTGATTTACCATTTTTATATAGAACTGCTCCCACAGCCAAGGCAATCACTATAATCACCACAACTGCTCCAATCACTAAGTATGTTGTCTTTGAATTGTTCATTTTGACCACAAATATATGATTTGTATTAAAACTCTTGTAAATTTAAGAATTTAAAAGCCGTTTGTATTACAAACTTTGTATACCGTTCTAGTAATGTCATTAACAATCTAATTATTTTTTTAATCGCGAGATATTCAGTGCTGACAATCCTAACAAATATTTTTGGCAATTATATAATGATTAGAGTAGCAAAATAAAAGGGCTAATTGTTGCTGGAATAATAATACAAAATAGCGCGAGATTCACATTAAAACATTGAGTTTTCGGTATTGAAAATATAATTTTTATGGTAAATTGGATCTAAAAGATTCCGTACATATCGCAAAAATATTTTTATCAACATTATGACAGTATTAGAGAATTGGATTTTATTTACAAAAATTATATTTTTTTTGTTGCATTCATCACTAAATTAGAAACAAATGGTCAGCTATTTGTTAATGAAAATCGAAAACTAAACTTTTTAACGCTAATAATAGTGCCACAATAAAATTGGCCTCGCGCAACAATTAGCCCTTTTATTTTGCTACTCTAATCATTATGTATGAAATTGATATGCAAATCATATTCTTATTATCAAATTCTTGAATGGCTATATTCATTAGACTAGGTATATAAGTGAAGTAACATACTGTATTATTTTGAATTTATACGTTTTCATTTAAGTTTTAAAAATAGTAAATAAAATATTTGAGATATTAAAAAAGTATCTCATAATCAAGATTATAATGAAAAGGCTATTAAATAAAAACGTTAAAAGTTTGTTAAAAATATAAATCTATAAAAAGTTTAGAAATAAGTTAACTTTAATAAAAATCACCTATTACAAATAAAAGAATTTTAAAAATTGAGTTCTGGATTCTTGGTTAAATTGATGCTTATTTTGGGGGCAAAACATTAGCCTTGAATAGTCCACCATAATTGCCACGGGGTTGATAATGACAGACTACATAGACTTTCTTGTTTGCCTCATTTATAGCCTTAGCACAACCAACATCAGTGGTACCCTTCCACACGAGTTGAGTGAAGTGTCCGACTTTTTTAAAATTACCAGGTTCACCCGATTCTGTGGTATGCTGGCCGTAGTCATAAAGATCCCGTTCATTGTACTTCTCGTTGGCAGACCTTTGACTCGATAATTTAAGCACCCATAGGCTCTCACCATAATCACCCTGGCTGTGGTCAAATTTGTTATCCTTTGCCAAAACGTTTGCATATTTGTCCGCACTATTCACTAACTATAGCACA